GAGTGGTTCTAAATATTTTGAATAAACTAATAAAATTCATAACAATAATAGATGAATAGAATTCACGTGAATTCTAGCATCCTTTAAACCACATATTTAATTAAAACTAACATCACCATTTGGGGTGTGTCACAAACCATCAAATGATTCGATAATCGAACATATGCTAAAGGATGTGAACAAGTGCTACCACCAGGATTCAACAATAACAACTTCGAAAACGGATGAGAGATTTGGTATCATATTAAACGATAGACGGGGAAAGACACGTGACCCTAATAATGAAAGTGACAGGTCAAGCAAAACTGATAACTAAAACGAATCCGAATATTTCGGTACGAGGTAGAAAAGCCACGTGAACCTAATTGCTATTCCCTTGCAACTTATTGTTTCTTTATAGATTAGATCTCTCTGTATTGTAGTCGACTAGTCGCCTCCCCTGGGTACGTAAATTTCCTTCATTTTTATTTTATATTGTAGTCGCCTCCCCTGGGTACCACCGACACCACCCGAGTTAACAACTCAGGCGGGGACGGAAGTTTATATTCTAAGTTTTTAACTCTTAATAGGCAAAAGAAAACAATCTGTATTCTCTTCGAAAGTTTGGGGTTTATTTTTCAGCTATTCCAAACCTGCCCTGCAACTGCAATCATGAGCTCACTTGTGCAAGTAAAATTTTATTTTTTTGGTTCTGATTTTTGTTCGTGTGTCATCTCTTCTTTCTTTTTTGTTTTTGAAAGGGTTTTTCCAAATCTCTAGCCATGACTGTGCTATCGGAGATAGGCGACAATACGTCTACTGCGGTTAGTCAACCTTTTAAGTTTATGTATTTATGTATGTTACATTCAACTCGAGGGAATAATCACGCTGAAATATCTTCATAAATCCAGACTTTACTTCTTCTTCTAATTTCTACTAGGCATTTCAGAGCCTGCTGATTTTAGGACATAGTGGTTTTCATATTTCTATTTGTATGTAAATTCAAACCCCTTGATCCTCTGAACATCACCACTTTGCATCTTTCCAGCAATAGCTTGAACACTGATGTTCCTTAAAATCTTGCACTTGTTTTAAGATCTTAGCAATGCGTCATCCGAGGGGGTTGTCTTGTCAGGATGCATGGCATCTTTAATTGTAAGTGTTTTTCATTTTTCCTTTTCATTCAGGTTAACTTTGTAAACTTCTTTGTTTTCTCGAGCATCATAGTTATTTGAAACATATTCATTTGCAGGTGATGACTATTCTTTCTGCTGGTGTCCGCTGGGCTGCTCCAAATCTTGTAAGTGGTTTGATTGTTGTTCGAGAAAGATTTCGATCTGTTTTAATTTCGATTATGCAGATCCCTCGGACATGGACTCATCACATCACGACAGTGCTGTTTATCGGATTCGGTCTTTATGTGATGGAATTATGGAGGATGGGTAATGCTTAGGAAGAGTAAGCTTTTTAACTATAAATTGATTGAGTTGTGATCTAACTATGTTTCCAGTTTCTTATTTGATATTTGTTCAACAGGACGCTGATGAAATGAAAGAAGGCGGCGATTTCTCACACGGTTTTTCTCTCCCATGTTTCTGAAGGTTAAAACTTTACATAATAAATTTTTGGCTATAGTGAAACCATTTGACTCTGTCTATTTTGCATGCAGGCATTTTCCATCACGTTTTTTGGTGAATGGGGCGACAGGAGCCAGGTGCACTTCTGCAAATGAACTGCATATCTCTGTTTCTTCTGTAACAACCCACCATTGCATCTTCATTATTTTTACTGTCTTTCAGCTTGCTACCATTGGCCTGGCTGCTGATGAGGACCCATTCGGTGTGGTTCTAGTTGGCATTCTGTAAGTTTTACAGAAGCAATGCTATTTCCTTCCTATTTTTCATATCAGTAATGTTACTCCCTTTTTTCCCTAGAGGACAAGCATTGTGCACCGCCACTGCTGTCATAGGAGAGAGAGCTTGGCGTCTCGGATATCTGAGAAAATTGTAATTCCGACCTCCTGTTTTCCTTTTACCCTCATTCACGCCACATCTGTGGTCTGCATATTAACATCTCGAGCAACTTGTGAAACCAAGTTCTTATCACTTCGATGCAGGTTGCACTCGCCGGTGGAGATCTTTTCATTATTTTCGGAATCCAATCCTTCATCTCCCCAGTACAGTCTTGATGAAGCTACTAATGATTAGTGCAGATTTTGGTCTGCTTGGAACTGGAGGAATGCTTCCCTGCGCAAGTCTCTAATGCTCAACTCTTTTTCTATTAGCTTTCTTGTTTTGTTATGACTTTAATTTCAGATTTTTCTTATTATTTATGGATTTTTTAAGGTTGTTCAACTCATTCAAAATCAATAAGTGTAAGCAAGAGCCAGGGAGAAAGAAAATAGTAAATGAGACCGATTCTTGTCTTTCATTTTGACTATAGGGGATGTATTGTTTAGGGATCATACAATAAGAGCACTAATGAGATATATACCATCTAAAAGCTCTGTAAAAAGGGTATATTTAACAGCGATATAGAACGAAACGGTTGGCTCGGTTGTCCCCGACTCTTTAGCAACCGCCACTTGCCGGTTCAATTGAACTTAAAGCCCGTTCCCTCGTAGCTGCATGCAGTGTTCCTCGGCATCGGCCTGAGCACATATAATCACCACTGCCATGCCATTGTAGTGTGCTTCTTGCATGATGTTAACAGCATTGTCAAGTGTCATTCCGGGGATGACTTTCATCAGTACTTGCACGACGTATTCCCGTTTGTTGAAATTGTCATTGTGCAGTATGACTCGATAAGGTGGAGCGATCTTTCTCGATTTCCTAAGCAATTCAAACCAACAAAGATGTTAAAAGAGAAGGAAAAATCTACCGGATAACAAATAACTGGGGTACCATACGCAGACATTGCAAGTGCTAATTGTGCCAATGCATTTGGAAATCCCCTCGTTTTGCAATCACACCAGCAAATTGATTTCATACAACCAATTAAAATAATAATGCGTCAAATAGATGCTGTACAAAAATGGTCTAAGAATGGGATATGTCCCGGTAAATTTATGAGAAGGATGGTCATAACACAAATTAACACACAATATTTCACATCAACTATAAGAACTTCGAATTTGGGCACTCACTTAAGATCAAACTCAGATTCACGACCGGGAGTCGTTCGCTCGATAACTGGCTTCTCCAAAATTCCTGCTCCTTTACCTGATCCGGTGGTCGAAATAGCCATGAGAATGCCACGGTTGGTGCATGCCCCCCTGCAACGTGACTGTTTCTCCCCTGTTTAAATAGTTTTGATTTAAAACCGTTATTGCAAAACATGAAGCCATCAATATACACACTCTACTGATAAACCAACAAAATATATGGAAGACATTTACAGAAACTGAAACCAAATAGAAGAGAACATCACAGCTATAGCTTTTTCTCTGTCAGATATCTAATATAATTGTTTGTTAGAGCAGATGAGAGGAAAGAAGATTCATCAAATCCAGTCAGTAAAACAATCAAGAGAATTCAATCCGTTTGGAAAATAAATAAGATTAATCAAACAACATAACATTACCATCACAAATGTCTAGTTTTCGGATTATCAATGATGAAAAGCTATATTTTCCATACCTTTAATAGTTTAATTTAATTTGAAACAACTACTAAATTCAAGAAACCGCTTCAGATTATCCAGAGACCGACTACTCCTTAAGGTTGAACATACCAAGTTTCTACATCTTCTCATTTTTTTCTCGGAAGAGATAACCTCTGGTTACGATTCAATGAGCTAATGCCTCAGTAGACAAAATATTCCTATTTTTTCATCAAACAAACAACAAAACCCATATTCATATTGCGCAATGCTTACCCTTTTTACAACCATATACTCAGTAATTCGAATAGAGGCAAGTTGTTTTATAATGATTTCCATCCATGTCCATCCTAAAGCAACAATTTTTGCTTTTGCCTTGCCTGCAAAAGTTTAAATTCCATCCTCCAAAAAGTAGTAAAGACAGCAGTGCAACTCAAAAGCTGAATTAACTCAAAGCTCAAAGCTTTTCAGATAATCCTATCGAAAAGGCTGAATTAAATCCCGATTCATAAGCAGCAACGAATATAAAAAATAGATTTCAAAATACCCATCTCAACACAGAAAGACCAATCCCACCCTTAAAATCTGAAATGTTAACAAAGCATTTGTGGGTGTACAAGTTGGATTGTTTGATAATTATTGGAGAAATTAAGCAGAAAAGATACGATAATCGTGGACTAAGCGAAGTTAACACGAAACCCAGATGAGTTTGTGATGGTATTATGAGAGTGTTCATTAATCAATCAAGTAAAGCTACAAACTTTACTAGAAACCCAGAATTAAAAACCAACAAATTAAAAGTGGGCAAAATTTGAGAGAAGAGAAATAGAGAAAGGAGAACCTGGTTTGGTATTGAAGACAGTGTTGGGTGAGAGTGTTAATCTCCCACGTATCGCAGTTTCCATAACTCTCTCTCTCAACACACACAATGTCTCCCTTCTGTTCTGTATCTGTATCTGTAATGAGAAATGTTTCTCAATCACTGTTTCCTTTTTCAATTAAAAATAAAATATTCGGGGAAATGATTTTTTTTCTTATTTCTGAGTTTTCAAAATTTTAATTGACTTAAAATAATTTGTGAACAGAAATGTTTTTTTTATTAAATTTTAAAAAAATCATAAACTATGTTTTTCCTTTTAAATCTTTAAATTATTTTTGATACAGGTTAATTACAAGTATTTATATTATTTTCTATCAAACAAACGAGTCTCAATTCGATCTAGTTTCAACAAATCAACTTACGTATGATAAATCAGAAAACATGAGAAGAAAACCTAATATCAACGCCGCTTACGGCGATTGGAGATATACCAATTGTCATCTCCTTAGAGAGACCTGGATCTCCTGCGATACAAGATGAACATAGAGCCACCAAGAAGGTAAAAAACAGAGCAGATGCGTCGACAACCAAGGAGAACTACATGGAGGATCTTTGCATGGATAAATCAAACGAAAACTTAGATAGTAACAAGGATACATGGAAACCAGCACCGAAACTCTCCTATGCAGCAATTACGGCAAACGGTCCTAACAAGGACTCAAACCCTTCAGCAGCATTGAAAGAACAGGAGATCACATTCAAAGAGGGAGATGTGACGATTGACAGATCTAGAGACTTCCCAAAGATAAGCTTCTCTAATCGTGTTCATGATCTTATGGATCAAAACATGAAACAAACGATTATCGTACGCTTGTTGGGAAAGAAGATCGGCATTCGAGCCATATGGAATAGAATCAACGCCTTGTGGAAAAATAAACCTAATCGACTTAGACAATGACTATTTTCTAGTCAAACTCGAGCGCATAGAAGACCATACCAAGGCACTCACAGAAGGTCCATGGACAATCTATGGAAACTATCTTACGGTACAACCCTGGAACAGAGAATTTTGTTCACCCAGTCTTTCTTTATCCCACTTTCTGGGTCTGGGTTTAACCTCTAAGTTTTGTTTTACGTACTCTAGAAGGATGATGTTGCATTGTCTTCAGCCCGGAAAGCTCCAATCCAAGAAGGTAGTGTTACTCTTGGGCTCTCTCGTTTGTTTTCATGTTCTCATGATTCTGCTCTAAGTTCATGATAAGAAAAAAATGGGTTTTTTAACCTCATAATTAATCGAAGTGCCTTAATTTGAGAAATCGAATGTAAATTAATAAAAAATAATAATAATTTTAATCGAGTACGAAAACATAAATAATCTTTTAAATTAATTGACGTCATCCCTTTCACATTTATTTCCGTAGAAATTGGAGTAAAATAATACGCGTGACCCTAACGCCATAAAGTGAACACACGCGCCCAAAAAACGCTCTCTTTTTGAACCTTTTACGAAACTTCCTTTTTCTCTTCAATTATTTATTAGATCTGTTTTTTCGTAGTCGTCGCCGCTGGGGTGCATAACTACTGTTTTAGAACTCCCAGCGACACAGCCCGAGTTACCAACTCAGAGCTCGGATTCACCCGGACAGAGAAGAAAGTCAATCTTCTATCCAACTCCAAAAGGAGAAAAAGAAAATAACTTTATTTTCCGCGAAAGTTTGGGGATTCCTTTTCATCTATCCTTGCAGCTGCAACCATGACCACACTTGTGCAAGTAATTTTTTCGGGATAAATCCAATTAAAGCCTTTCTATTTTTCTTTTGTTATGATTTAAATTTTTTTCGTTAATTAATCGTCGATTTTGTTGTTCTGATTTCAAAAGGGCTTTTCCAAGTCTCTAGCCATCACTGTGCTATCGGAGATTGGCGACAAGACGTTCTTCGCTGCCGCGGTTAGTCAAACAAAGCTTGAACTTAACTATTTCTTATTCTTTTTTTCCTTTTTGGTTTTTTTAGTTCTATTCAAATTATTTATTGCCTTGCGATTTCATTGATTTTGAAACGAATTGAAACTTGAAGCTAGAGTTGAATTGTTGACGGTGTGAGTAGTGAATAATGTGTTAATAAGCCCACACCCTAGATTTACACCTATTGACCTTTAAACATTCAATTTCTCAACCCATCGTTCAGAAAGGCATTGCATATCACATTTCATTGGCTAGTATACTTGAAATTGTTAACATTTTGAAGAAAAAATGCGTTATGGATTCTAGTAGCTTAGTAGTGTTACTGGAATTGACTTGTGGGGAAATTTCTCAGGAAAACAATCATACCATTATGTGTCATTAACGAGGTTAAAATCTTTAATGTTCGAACATTTACTTTCGTTGTGGTGTATTTATTATAGCCACTCAAAGTTACCTTCTTAAACTTTGTTGCATTTGAGTGAAGAAATGGAGCATAGATTGTTTTGAAAATGACAACTTAGCACATGGTCTAATGCTTTAAGCTGTAACAAGCCAATGTCTTCCCATTCTTGGAGCAGACATGTATTTAGTTCAAATGCTTGATGTATAAGACTATTAATTTTTTCACCGATAAATCTTTATTTTGGAGACGTATATGTAACATAATTGTTTGAAAGCACCCGTCGTTTTAGCTTTACTTTAATGATGTTTACATTCTTCATTTTTATGATATACTACTTTCATATTTTTACTTGAATATTATTTCAAATCCCTTGATACTCTGCTTGTCTGAACATCACCAGTTTGATTGCATCTTTTTCAGCAATAGCTTGAGCACTTATGTTTTTTAAACTCTTATACTTGTTTCAAGATCTTGGCAATGCGTCATCCAAGGAGACTTGTCTTGTCAGGATGCCTGGCAGCTTTAATTGTAAGTGTTTTTTCTTTTTTCCCCTTTGTCTGTACATCCTTTTCATTCAAGTTAACTTTGTAAACATTTTTGTTTTCTCAAGCATCATAGTTATTTGAAATATTTTTTCTGTAGGTGATGACTATTCTTTCTGTTGTTGTTGGCTGGGCTGCTCCAAATCTTGTAAGTGGTCTGATTGCTGTTTGAGAAAGACACTTCTGCATTTGGATATGTTTTAATTTCCTTTTAAAGGACCTGAACAATCACACTAAAGTTCGTTTTAGTGGAATTTCAAGATATACCTAGTGAACTAAGTTATTCTTGGTCATCTTTGCCTGGAAATTTTGCCAAATAGGATGAAAAGAGGGAAGTTATGTGTTAGGAAAGGAGCTGTGTTGAATTCAAGTTGATTGATCCCTATTTTGTCAAGTTACATATTATGAAATGCATCGGAGATACTTTTGTGTGGCTATAAATTGCCCACTTATGGCTATATTTTTATAAGTTTTTCTATATATTTGGAGGAGTCTTGAAGGTCATTTCTCCATATCCAAGTGTCGGGTGTCCGACGTGGGTACTTCATGAAAAACAAAGAGTCTGAGCAACATAGCATCAAAAGGCAGTCAGCTTGGATATTTAATTTAATTGAATTTCATTTTGAACCAGACTCAAAACTTTAAACTGGTATGAAAAATGCTCTCATTCTCTTCTTGTACGATTTCTATTATGCAGATATCTAGGAAATGGACTCACCACATAACAACAATGCTGTTTTTCGGATTTGGTCTGTGGTCTTTATGGGATGGATTTATGGAGAGTGGGTAATACCTTTTCTGTTACCTCTTTTGTCCTTTTCGTTCTCTATCATTTTCGTGGGCGTGATTCTATTTGTCATGCTTTGGTAGAGTGAGCTTTTGTTTAACTATAAATTGATTTTGGCGCAACCTAAATATGTTTCCACAATAGGAACGATGAAGAATTAGCTGAAGTTGAAGCAAAACTGGTAATTTTTTAAATAAATTTCCTGATGTTTAAGTGGACATTTTCTTTTCAATGAAAAAAATGGCATTGTTTATGTTACTTTATTGTTATGACCAGGATGCTGACTGGAAGGACAACACAAAAACAGTAAAGGAGGGAAGTAAGGTACAAAAACAACCATGCCAAAACACATTTGATTTCCTGATAGGACATAAATTTTTGTTACTAAATTTCTTGCAAGTTTATCAACCGAAACCTAGGTGATTGTAAATTCAGTTGACTTGAGTTGATCCGGATTCAACCTTGAAATAACCCAGTAACTTGAACTAAGCAAAATACATATTATATTTATGCTTTTACAAATGCAGTTTAATATATTTTTAAAATTTAGAAATGGCTTAAATTCAACTTGAGTGGAAATAATTTGTAATAGTCAATGGCATGAACCAGTCTATTTTGAAACGCAAAATTTCACGAACATAAAATGCTTAATATAGTTGTCTTAATCTCCACATCACATTCAACTTTAATTTCTTTCCTTTGTTTCTTTAATGAAAAAGCTATTTCTACTTCCTAGATACTAAACAATTCAACCTACATGCTTGAGGGAAATGTTGATTGTTCCATGAGATCATATAACACTTTTTTCCTTTCTTCTTTTATTGAATTCTTGTTAATTGTCTGAAACAAATTTGTTTACCAATGGTATACTTTATTGCTTTTATTTCATGCATCGGTGTATCTGATTTGGGAAATAAAGTTTCTTTGAGCATAAAAGTCAGCAAAAGTTCATGATAATAGTGAGTTCTATGTGTTACGTGCTTCTGAATTCATGACCTGCTCGACATTTTATATTTTGCTAAGTTAATACTTTTCAGTAAAATTGTTAATCTTCTGACGACATTCAACTATATGTTCATAGGATGATGATGACTTGAAAAAGAAGAGCCGGCCATTTCTCACACAGTTCTTCTCTCCAATATTACTAAAGGTTAAAACTTTACTTAACCTATTAGTTTAATATTGATAAGCCTGCATCTTGTCAAACAATTTGACTGTGCCTATTTTGCTTGCAGGCATTTTCCATCACATTTTTCGGTGAATGGGGGGACAAGAGCCAGGTGAACTTCAGCAAATGAACTTCATATTTCTGTCTCTTCTGTACGAGCCACTATGACATCTTCATTATTTTGGATTAAGTATTATTTTACTGCCTTTTCAGCTTGCCACCATCGGTCTGGCTGCTGATGAGGACCCATTTGGTGTGGTTCTTGGTGGCATTGTGTAAGTTTTACCTTGTGATATGTTTCTTTGTATTTACAGAAGCAATTCTATTTCCTTCCTATTTTAATCACTATGTATATATATTCATGGTAGCTTTCTTTTTTATATGCCAATCTATAATGTTACTCTTTTTTTTCCCTTTTTCTTTTCTTTTCTAGGGGACAAGCATTGTGCACCACTGCTGCTGTCCTTGGAGGAAAGAGCTTGGCATCTCAGATATCTGAGAAAATTGTAATACAGATCCATGCTTTTCCTTTTCCCTTGTGCAAAAGTTGTCTGCATATTAATTTTGAGCAAATTCTGAAACCAAATTTTATCACTTTGATGCAGGTTGCACTCTCAGGTGGAGTGCTTTTCATTGTTTTTGGAATCCAATCATTCCTCACCCCTGTTGAGTTTTGATGACTTACTAATGGTTAGTGCTGATTTTGATGTGTTGAGAACTGTTCATTAGAGTTGGCCGGGGGGGGGGGTTCCTTTTGACACTTATAGAAATTGATTATTCACATACACCAAGTGGATATAATGAAATCCAAATTGATCCCACTGTTATGGTATTAGGTATATGATAGCTTTGTACATCGGATATCGCATTTGCACTTAGGTAGATGATGCTTCCCTGTATTTGTCTGTAACACGGTTACTTTGCTTTGTGCAGTCACAGATATAGCGCAGAAGAGCTATTTGATACCGATATCATCTTTGGAAGTGACAGGGTCTCTATGTTCTACTTCGACTCTCATTGACTATTCTTTTTCATTTTTTTTATTTTCACAATATTTAGACATACAGAAATGAAAGGGTCTCTATGTTCTTCTCTCGTTTAGTTTGTCGGAGTTCTTTTATGACTTCCATGATCGGCGACAATACGTTATTCGCTGCTGCGCTTAGTCAAAACTTTTAAGTTTATGTATGTATGTATGTATGCATGCATGCATGTATTGGTGCTGCATTTGCATTTCATCTATTGAAGTTTATTTGGGCTGCCTACACACTCTTGTATCACCCTGCATCGACCTGTTTAAGGGCCGGAATTATGGGGTCGGGTGCCATGCATAACACTCCTAAAAAATGATTTTATTCTTTTATTTTTAAAAAAAATATAAATTAATTCATGATGAAAATTATATTTTTTCTTGATAAATCTAAAATACCACAAAATAAGATTCGGAGCACCTTCATTTCAAAAATACACCGCTTTATCTTCGTTTAAAATATAGGTCGTACTCAGGTCTCATAATTCAAGTCCCGAGTCAATATACCGTGTCTAATTTCGAAGTTTCGAGTAGGTTGTATTATTTTATTAGATAAATTACGTGTTTAGTATTTAAATTATTAATTTTGGTTCGTTTTTGTACTTAAACTTTTATTTTTTTTTAAATCATATTTAACGTTTAGTTTTGTTTTATTTTAGTTCTCGTTAAAAATTTAACGATAAGTTTTGAAAAAAAAATCAAAATTTTAGGTAATAAAATAGATTAAAATTGATAGTTTAGGTATTAAACTCATTAAGTTTTTGACGGTGGGTTATTAAAATGACACAAAAACGAAACATTAGGTATGATTTTAAAAAAAATTGAAAGTTTAAGTATTAAAATAGATCAAAACTGATAATTTAGGAACTAAACACGAAATTTATCCGATTTTAATTTTATGTAATTTATCAAATAAAAATCAAATTTTGTAATAATATATTATATTATAAACATGAAAAAATATATTAAGTTGTTCATGTATAAAAGTAAAAAATATTCAATAGAAGAGTAAATATTAAGAAAATATATAAAGTTGTCTAAATTTTAAGTCGGATTAAGTTTGAACATGCATGAAGTATATTAATTGTGTACATGAGTCCGATTTAAATCCAATTTGATCTGGTCTACGGATACCTCTAACTTATACGTAGAAGTTTTACATGATGGCACGATCGTTTAAAGTCACGTCTGTTAGCAAAAGGGTTTACATTGGTTTTTGGCCACGGTTATCAAGAAACTCTCTCCGGTTGCCAACATTGCGTTTGTTCAGCTTTTGATTTCTCTTGCTGTAATGAGTCACGGGACTATGTACCAATTGGATATTGAAAATACATTTGTTCATGGTAAATTGACTGAAGAAATTTACACGAAGCAACGGTAAGGTTTCTTAAAATCTTTCCAGCAATAGCTTGAACACTGAAGTTCCTTAAAATCTTGTACTTGTTTTAAGATCTTAGCAATGCGTCATCCGAGGCGTCTTGTCTTGTCAGGATGCATGGCATCTTTAATTGTAAGTGTTCTTCATTTTTCCATTTCATTCAGGTTAACTTTGTAAAACTTTGTTTTCTCAAGCATCATAGTTATTTGAAACATTTTCTTTTGTAGGGGATGACTATTCTTCCTGCTGCCGTCGGCTGGGCTGCTCCAAATCTCGTAAGTGGTTTGATTGTTGTTGGAGAAATATTCTTCTGCATTTGGATCGGTTTTAATTTCGATTATGCAGATCCCTAGGACATGGACTCATCACATAACGACGGTGCTGTTTATCGGATTCGGTCTTTGGTCTTTATGGGATGGATTTATGGAGGATGAAGATGAATTAACTCAAGTTGAAGCAAAACTGGTAAGTTTTTCTAATATATTTCCTCATGTTTAAGTGGACATTCTCTCTTCAATGAAAGAAAGAGACATTGTTTATGTTACTATATTTCCTCATGTTTTTCTAATATAATTGACACGAAAACAATCAAGCAGGGAAGTAAGGTACAAAACCTTTTATTTACTAATAAGTCGGTGTGTGTTGATGATGATGGTGTAGTTCTATTTGTCATGTGCTTCTGAATTCATGGCCTGCTTCTTACTTAAAAACCTTCAACTATGTGTTCAACAGGATGGTGATGAACTGAAGAAGAGGCGGTCATTTCTCATTCAGTTCCTCTCTCTCTCTCTCCCATATTTCTGCAGGTTAAAACTTTACATGACCTATTGTGATTGTAGTTAAACAATTTGACTGTGCCGGTTTTGCATGCAGGCATTTTCCATCACATTTTTCGGTGAATGGGGCGACAGGATCCAGGTGAACTACTGCAAATGAACTGCATATTTCTGTCTCTTCTGTAACAAGACACTAGGGCATCTTCATTTTTTTTCTGTCTTTCAGCTGGCTACCATTGGCCTGGCTGCTGATGAGGATCCTTTCGGTGTGGTTCTAGGTGGCATTCTGTAAGTTTTACCTTGTGATATCCCTGTGTATTTACAGAAGCAATGCTATTTCCTTCCTGTTCTTCGTATCAGTAATGTTACTCCCTCTTTTCCCTAGAGGACAAGCATTGTGCAACGCTGCTGCTGTCTTCGGAGGGAGGAGCTTGGCATCTCGGATATCTGAGAAAATTGTAATTCTGACCTGTTTTCCTTTTACCCTCACGCGGTCACACCAAAGTTGTGGTCTGCATGTTAACACCTCAGCAATTTATGAAACCAAGTTCTTTTCAGTATTTATTTAAAGTTGTTCAACTCATTAAAAATCAATAAGAGTAAACAAAAGAGCCAGGGAGAAAGAAAATAGTAAATGGGACCGATCCTTATTCAAAATCAGTGCCATCCTCTTGTCTTTCATTTTTTACTAAAGGGATCTATTGTTTAGGGATCATACAATAAGAGCACTACTGAGATATACACCATCTAAAAGCTCTTTAAAAAGGGTATATTTAACAGTGATATAAACCAAATGGTTGGCTTGGGTTGTCCCCGACTCTTTAGCAACCACCACTTGCTGGTTCAATCGAACTTAAAAGCCCGTTCCCTCGTAGCTGCATGCAGTGTTCCTCGGCATCAGCCTGAGCACATATAATCACCACTGCCATACCATTGTAGTGTGCTTCTTGCATGATGTTAACAGCATTGTCAAGTGTCATTCCAGGGATGACTTTCATCAGTACTTGCACGACGTATTCCCGTTTGTTGAAATTGTCGTTGTGCAGTATGACTCGATAAGGTGGAGCGATTTTTCTCGATTTCCTAAGCAATTCAAACCCACAAAGATGTTAAAAGAGAAGGAAAAAATCTACCGGAAAACAAATATCGGGGTACCATACACAGACATTGCAAGTGCCAATCGTGGCAATGCATTTGGAAATCCCCTCGCTTCGCAATCACACCAGCAAATTGATATCATACAACCAATTAAAATAATTGTGCGACAAATAGATGCTGTAAAAAATGATCCAAGAATGGGATGTGTCCCAGCAAATTTATGAGAAGGATGGTCATAACACAAATTAACACCATAATTCACATCAACAATAAGAACTTCGAATTTGGGCACTCACTTAAGATCAAACTCAGATTCACGACCGGGAGTCGTTCGCTCGATAACTGGCTTCTCCAAAATTCCTGCTCCTTTACCTGATCCGGTGGTCGAAATAGCCATGAGAACGCCACGGTTGGTACATGCCCCCTTGCAACACGACTGTTTCTCTCCTGTATACATAGTTTTTATTTAACCATCAATATACACACTCTACTGATAAACCAACAAGAAATGGAAGACAGAATACAGAAACTGAAACCGAATAGAAGAGACCATCACAACTATAGCTTTTGCTCTGTCAAATATCTATTATAATTATGTGTTTGAGCAGCTGAGAGGCAAGAAGGTTCCATCAAATCCAGTCAATAAACAATCAAAAGAACTCAATCCGTTAGGAAAATAAATAAGATTAATCAAACAACACTACGTTACCATCACAAATGTCCAGTTTTCTGATTATCAATGATGAAAAGCTATATTTTTCATACCTTTAACTTAATTTGAAACAACTACGAAATTCAAGAAACCATTTCAGATTATTCAGAGACCGAGTACTCCTTAGGTTGAACATACCAAGTTTCTACATCTTCTTTTCGTTTTTCCGGAAGAGATAACCTCTGGCTACGATTCAATGAACTAATGCCTCACTAGACATAAATATTCCTTCACCAAAACAAACAACAAAAACCATATTCATATTGGACGACCATATATACTCGGTAACTTGAATAGAGGCGAGTTATTTATAATGATTTCCATCCATGTCCACTCTAAAGCACCAACGTTTGCTTTTGCTTTGCCTGCAAAAGTTTAAATCCCCATCCTCCAAAAAGTAGTAAAAACAGCAGTGCAACTCAAAGGCTGAATTAACTCAAAGCTCAAAGCTTTTCAGCTAATCTTATCTGAGAATCTTCTAACCGGAAAAGCTGAATTAACTCCCAATTCATAAGCATTATTCATAAACACAGCAGCAAATATAAGTAAAATGGATTTAAAAAATACCCATCTCAGCACAGAAAGACCAGTTCCGCCCCTTAAAATCCAAAATTTTAACAGAGCATTTGTGTGTGTACAAGTTGGATTGTTTGATGAATTACTGGAGAAATTAAGCAGAAAAGATACGATAATCGTAGACTAAGCGAAGTTAATACGAAACCCATATGGGTCAGTGATGGTAGAGTATTCATTAATCAATCAAGTAAAGTTACAAACTTTACTAGAAACCCGAAATTGAGAGGAGAAGAGAAATAGAGAAAGGAGAACCTGGTTTGGGATTGAAGACAGTGTTGGGTGAGAGAGTTAATCTCCCATGAATCGCAGTCTCCATGACTCTCTCTCAACACACACAATGTCTCCCTTCTGTTCTGTATCGGTAATGAAAAATGTTTCTCAACCACTGTTTTTTTTCGATTAAATAAAATATTCGGGAAAATGATTTGTTTCTTCTTATTTCTGAGTTTTCAAAATTTTAATTGAATTAAAATAAATTGTGAACAGAAATATTTTTCATTTTGAAATATAACAAAAATATAAATTAATTTCACTTGAACGTAACCTCTTTTAATTTTTTTCCATAAAAAGGTTAATTTATTTTTAATTTTACAATTAGTTTAATCAAGTCTCCAATTTATATATGCTTATAATATACTATAAATCCTTTGTACTCCTTATATATTTTTAATTTAATCCTCCTATTTTTAATTTTAAGAATTTAGGCCCTATATTTTTCAAATATATCATGATCTCAACCTTATCATTAAGTAAAAGCCTCATTAAGGTATATATAAATCATTTTTCATGCCTTTTAAATGAATGGTATTTCACTGATCCAAGTAAGCAGTAAAAAATCTAGGCTAAATGGCCGCCAATAAGAATTTAGTTTTTTTTTTAAATTTCGGTATCAAGTTAAAACAATTATTAAATTCAGGGACCAATTGATATATTATTCCTTTTATGATTTAGCAAACCCGACCCGCAAAATAGCATTGGCCTAGAATCCACGGGAATCCAGCGGGTCAAGATCCGAAGACTCGGCTTCACTTCGTTCTCTTCGTTTCGTTGCGACATTGTAATCTTAGCGAGGTAGGAACCGAATCGAAGGAAAACACCTTGATATCGACCCGGACCATAAATGGCTTATAACTCTTCGATCACAGCTTTCAACTAACAACTACAACAATCAGAAAACACCCATTATCCCCTTTTCACTCCACTTTTCTCCCTCTGTGTTGGAATTTTGTTCACCCTGTCTTTCTTTATCCCACTTTCTGGGATTTTTGTCTGGGTTTGACCTTTTGGTTTTGTTTTGCGTATTCGATAAGGATGATGCTGCATTGTCTTCAGCCCGGAAAGCTCCAAACCAAGAAGGTAGCGTTGCTCTTAGGCTCTCTCTTTGTTTTCATGTTCTCTTGATCCTGCTCTAAGTTTATAAAAATTGGATTTTGATCGGAAAGTGTCGGTGTTAGTCATCTAAAGTTTGAACCTTTTAATTGGATCGAAGTGCCTTATTTTATTGCCCATTTCCATGGCTAAGTTTTTGTTTTTAGCTTTATTTTGATATTTTGATCACAATAAAGAAAAGTGATATTGAATGAATGCCAGTTGTGGACAAGATGATGTGATTTTTTTATAAAGGATGCTCATTTGTCTGAGTTAAAAGGCTTTGTTATTCTTGTTTGAAGGATTTACAGGGCGCCTCTACTTATTTAATCATCCAAATCTATTTTTTTTTGTATGAATTCATGTTTCATTTTAGATTATAGCTTTCCAACTTGATTACTTTTAGGGTTGTTATTGTTGTGTTTGCTATACTGGCAGATTATTTTTGAAGATGTGTTTTCTGCGCGTGATTCTGCCACACTTGAACATCTGAAGGAGTTGAGCTCTAGACGTACAGTAATCGAGGAGTCCATTAATCAGAGCAGCTTCATTACTGAGGCTGTTGCAAGAGAAATGTCTGGAGGCTTGACTTCTCATTGTCTAAGGGTAGTTTCTTAATGTTGTTTTATTCGCATTTTTGCTTCTGTAATCTGTACAACCATTTGCTTTTGTGCTTCTATATCTCCATTTTTGTAATGCATGAATCATTATAGTTGATACTTGCTTTTGATTGTCTCTGCTAGTTTTCCTAATCACCCAAGGTTTCAACAGGTTATTCTGATTGTTTTCCTCCTCTTTTTTCGGTTTGAATTTCATCAGGACCTTCAGAAATTGGAGCAATACCTGCCACTGTTGGAGAACTTGATTTTTCATGTTGATTTGGTCTGCAACAACCACTATGTTGTTCGTTGGATTTCAGAACTTAAGATCCGTTGGAGTAGCGCTATTATCTCATCGTCTTTCTTTAACCTTAGGGGTCCAAAGTTTTTTCAAATTGATAATTTGCGTTATGAGCTTGGTACGACCCTTTACCTTTATGCCGCATTGCTTCGGGAGAGGGCTATAGAAATTCTTCCAACAGGTAGGCAGAGACATTCTCACATCGTATTTTTATTAATCACACGAGTCTTGTTTTCGTAACATTGCTATTTACTTTTCATTTTGCCAGATTTGGTGCAATCCGCCACTCTTTTCAGGGAAGCAGCTGGTGTTTTTCAGCATCTTGCTGTTGAGATTTTTCCCTCATTACAATCTGCACAGTCGGTAGAAAGGCCACCGGAAGCAACTCCATCCATTTGCACTGTTATGAGTCTAATTTGCTTGGCTGAAGCCCAGGTTAGTGTTAAGGCCTTCGCATTTCAACATCACAGGATATATACCACAGGTTTCTGGTATCTTGGCCTGAAATTTAATGCAAAATCTTTTAATATGCAAAGATTTGTTTTTATTGGCTTCTTTAGTACTTCCTTTGTCTCTGATGATTATTGTATTATGAAACAGGCTGTAACCATAAGGAAGGCTGAAGAAAAAGGAACAACTGTTGGTCTTTTGGCAAAGTTGCAGTGTGGTATTATAGAGTTACTTGGTGAAGCCACTGCTATTCTATATTCAAATACTGGAGAGTGCAAAGATATTTCGTCGAGTTTTCTGGTATTTTCACACTTTTTCTTTCCAAAAATCGTCGGCATGTCCTATTCCATGATTAAGCAAGCTTAATCAGTTTTATCACTTTAAATTTGCCTACTTTAGTTGATTGTAAATTATTAGCATAAAATTTGACATGATATGATTAGCCTTTTTTCCACATGTTATGAACATATGGTGATTTTCTTTACACTTTATCAGTGATCTCCATTCACCAAAAAGTCTACATCCCGTCTTCTTCGAATACCTTGCAGCATTGTGTTATTCTTAATAGTAGAGTGATTTTACTGCAAATAGGCTATTTTTAGAGAAACTCCTTGTTTGTTGTTGCATTAAAACATATCCTCTGTGAAGGAGATGACACTATATGATATCCGTGAACCGTGCAGGAATTTATTCATCTTGCAAAGCTCTACATGAGTTAAGAAGTCTGAAATACCTTGCAGAAAGTCTAAAGATAGCTGAGCAACTTGGAGTTGCTGTTGGAGTTCTTCGCGATGCACTAATCAACGCAAAGAAGAAAGTTCCAGGAGAAGAATCCTGGAGATCCATCTTCGGAGAAGAAATCGATGCTGCTGCTGACGTGCTACGGAAATTCGAACACGAGAACGATTTCGTTTGGCATGAGAAGATCCCCACCGGAGATGAGTTGCCAAGACTACAAGGTAACAAGATTGTCAACGCGATACCGTGTAATCCCAAAAGGTGGGAGAGAGAACTTAGTTTCAAGATATAAATGTACATAACATTTTGTGTGGTAAAAGTTTTCTTGGATTTGAGAGAGGAAATGCTCACAGCTTCCTGGCCTTCTTAATTTGTAGTTACCACCATGTTTTAAAAACAGTCCATATAAACAAGGGATTTACAGTGTGTTGAATGCCAAGGGTTTAGATTTTTACAGTCTTTAATTTGTAGTTTTCAATGCTTTTTGTAACATTTTGGTAGAAAGTAAGGTCTAATATACACATTTTATGTTTTGAAATTCTGTATAAGGTTTTATTTTTAATATTTTTAATAATTTATTAAGTTTTTAATTTTTTTAAAGATCAAAAGTACTCAAATTTTCAATTAAAATCAAATTTACCCTTATATTCGATCAAAATATTAATTATGTCGTCAAATTTAACTACAAAAATTAATTCAATTCTCTAACTGTCATGTAATATCATTTGCATGTGATCTATCATGTTAGTTCAGTAAATTGTTATATTAATATTATTAAATAACATATTATATCATAACAATCAATATCGATAATAAATACAATTATTATGATGAAATAAATTTAAAAGCAAAATTAATATAATTAAAATGTAAAATTAATTTACTTATTTGAGTTCATTGCAAAATTTTAAGAAAAAATCAATAGATGTTATTTCTGGCGATTTTCCCGATATATCACCGGTGACCGATAATATTATCGATCTAACACCGGTCAGATTATATTTCTCGATCTAACACCCTTAGCAGTAAAGCGCGCCCCCTACACCGCGTTATACGATGATTTGGTGCCACGTGGGATATAGTGCCCCCTGTATCGCGCTATACGGTGAGCTGGCGCCACGTGGGTATAGCGCTGCCCTGCAGCGCGCTATACGCCACGTAGGGGTATAGCGCGGATCAGGTACCGCGCTATACCTTTACTCCTAATAATTTTATATAGCGCGGGGCAGGTACCGCGACATACCTTTACTCCTGACATAATTTTATATAGCGCGGGACAGGTACCGCGTTTTGTATAACTTTCCTCGCTATAAATACCATTCTCCTCCGGTTAATTTCTCACATCTCTCCTCTCAACTTATAAATTAATACAATAATTTCGTCAACGAGTCAATAATTCTGGCAATCTTCTCATATTTTATTTAGAAATTCGTGCGATTTTTCGTTATAAGGTAATTTTGTTATAATTTTTTATTATTATTATGATTATTTGAAAAAAATAGTATACTAATTATTTTCAATTAATTTTTATGTCTGTAAAATTGGAAAGCGGGAGCATACGTCGAAATAGTTTTGCGGTGCAGGTAATAATATTAAATTATATTATTTAATTTATTTACGTTGATGTGTAAAAATTTTATTGTGTTATATGTTCGTTCATATATAATTTATTAAATCAGGTTTGTTTCATTTTTTTCCAGATATAATAGTTCCGCACTTTTAAACTCAAATAATGGCGCGACTTTCAGCTATTGTTTATTATGATAGTGAAATTCGAGAAGATGAAACCGGCGTTGTTTTCGTATCAAATGAGCGTGTTAAAATATCATTCAAGAGAAACATAACTCTTGAGGAGCTTATAACGAAGATTTCGAGGAAGATTCATGTTGGAAGTAGTAGAAGAGTGTCGTCGTTGCAGTATAGATTTCCAACATCATTGTTGCCATTAACTTATACAGCATTCGAACTTTCGAACAATGATGATGTTGAAATGATGGTTGAAGCTCAAAGTAATTATTCAGACGCTGTTATTGAGATGTATGCACATTTTGTTCAAGTGCGTGTTGTTCGGGGTCAATCATTAAGCTCCACTATGGGCTGACTGAACAAGTTGATCAAGTTGACAGCCCGACGATAGTAATGTGTAATGATTTTAATACCATAATGAGGAGACATTCATCCACAACTCCTTACGATATGTACCAAGGTATGTCGACAAACAATCGTATGGCAATATCGCGTCCAGTTCAAGGGGAAGGCATTCATCTGCAAATCCCTTTGACCTTAATATGGAGATGCCATCGACGCAACCATCTGTGCAGTTTTCATTTGACGCGATGGCTTCAAGCTCTAGGGGGAGGCATTCGACTGCGAGCTTTTTCGATCTCAATATCGATATGCCTTCCAGTTCAAGGGGAAGGCGTGCAAGTAGTAGATTCTTTGACCTAAATATGTAGAGCATGGAGGAACCATCATCTCCACCAGAAGAACCGCTTCGTGAGCCTAGTGCGGATGGTGCTGAGACTGGACTGTTCATTGACCCAGAATCACCGCAATTCAACTCCGATGATGATGAAGTTCCAGGAAATGTGGCACAAACTGACCCTCCTGCACACATGTATGAAGCTGATTATGGTGCAATGTACGGGCCAGAATTTGCGGATATGCCTCATCTCGGTGACTATGGGTATTACTCATCAATAAATAATGGTGAGTTATCTTTAGGCATGGAGTTTTCAAGCAAAGAAGAAGCGATGATGGCTATCAAAAATTACAATATTCGTAATTCTGTTCAGTCTAGAGTAGACCGCTCCACGACCAAAAAATATGTATGTTACTGTGCCCAGCGCGAAAACGGATGCAATTGGATGGTTCGCGTATCGAAGAGGAAGAGGAAAAACAACAGATGGGAACTAACAGTATACAACGTCCTCACACATGTTGTGCTGGAGGGGTCAACCAAGATAATCCCAACTTGGACTCTGAAGTGATATGCCAAGCCATCATGCCCATGGTCAAGCAAGCTCTCATATAGCTGTTGCAGTGTTGATTTCAGCTATACAATCGCAGTATGAGTACACTGTCTCCTATAAAAAAGCTTGGTTGGCAAAACAAAATGCCATTGTCAAACTTCATGGCGAATGGGATGCATCTTACAACGAACTTCCAGGTTGGTTTAGGCTGGTGCGAACGTTGAATCCTGGGACAATTGTGGACTTCGAAATCTCCTATGCATACCATAATGATCGAGTTCTTCGCGATCGATGCCAATTCTACCGGGTTTTTTGGAGTTACCCACAGTGCGTTAATGCTGTCAAATTCTGCAAGCCTGTGGTCCAGATCGACGGGACTTTCTTGTATGGAAATACAAGCAAGTTTTATTATTGGCAGTTGTCCAAGATGGCAATCGCAACATTCTTCCAGTTGCTTTTGCTCTTGTCGAAGGAGAAGATACAACTTATTGGGCTTTTTCCCTCCGAAATTTACGTGCACATGTTATCACGAAGGAAAACATCTGTGTCATTTCAGATCGTGGAGCTGAGATCAAAGCAGCAATGAAGTCTTTAGGTCCAATGTGGCAACCACCCTTTGTCCAACATAGGTATTGTCTTCGACACATTGCCGCGAACTACCATGGAAGGTACAAGAAGAATGATGAGCGTCAATTAATTGTGCGCATGGGTAAGTGAAACTTAGCAAGTTTGTTATCTTTCTATCGTTTTAATTTTGCAAAGATAGCAAGTTAGTAAGTTATATATATTTTTTGATCAGGTTACGAACTACTTCCTCGAACGTTTGAATCAATGTTTCAAGACTTGCGGGCGAAGAACGAGGAAGGATATGATTACATCAGCCTCATCGATAAAGAAATATGGATGAACGCATATGATGGTGGATATCGATATGGACACATGACGACCAACTTGGCAGAGGCAATCAAATCAACCTTAAAGGGTGTACGTCACTTACCTGTAGCGGCTTTGGTAAAGACTACATATTTTCGTTTGGGGGCGCTTTTGCGAAATTCGGGGGACAAGCTCAAACCTGGATGCAAGGCGGTCATGTCTATCACCCTAGATTAGTTGCAGATCTACAGAAAAAAATTGATGCATCAAATGGAATGTTTGTAACAAGCTTCTCTATAAGGCATGAAATGTTTCGTGTCACAGAGTTACCGCGACCTCTTCAGGGATTGAAGCTGTGTCGTTAAGAGTAAATCTAAGGGACAGAACATGCAACTGCGGGTTTTTTCAAGCTCTGAAGTATCCATGCTCTCATGTGATAGCAGCTTGCTCGCATACACGTCAAGACTATAACCATTTTGTGGATCTCGTATACCTACTATCTGAAGTTTTTAAGGTATACGAATTTGAGTTTCCCCCATATGTAATGATAAAGACCCTGATGAGGTTCAAGATTGGCTTCCGATTGTACCAAATCCGAGTTTATTGAGGGAGCGTGGTCGTAAAATCCAATCGAATTCATTGCGATATGGTTAGAGAAAGATCTAGACAAGACAGAAGATGTGGGCATTGTAGAAACCCAGGACACACTAGAAAAACATGTCCACTTCTGTTGTCATCAAGTAACAATTGATGAGGAAATGATGTATTTTATTATCAAATAATAATTCTTCTACTTTAATTTGCATTTACTTCAAGTTAATGTCATTTGATAATCACCGATGAAGATTAAAAAAACAAACACAATCATTAAATTTTAACAAACTAATAACAATAAGTATTAAATGGTAAATGATAACCAAATTACAATAACTGATATTAAATGGTAATAAAAAACGAATTAAATACATTAAAAAACAAAATAAAGTAAGTATTAAATGAGAAATAATAAAAAATTATAATTTAACAAAAAAAGTAAATACAAATATAATAAAAAACGAAATCTATCGATGCCTGCGACGCGAATGTGAGGATTTCTTCGTATCACTGGTTCTGACTCCTCACTGTCATCATCATCACCGTTGTCGTCGTCGTCGTTGTCATCGTCTTACGCATGTACATGAGGAGCTAATGACGATGAAGCACCTCCGTAGAATAAGGACCCTGGAGGTGTATGACTGACTATCCCACCGGCCTGCGAAAACTGGGAAAAGTCATAAAACCCAGACATCGCTGAGTGTGAAAACTGTACAGGAGGCGGTGTATGTGCTGCGGCCATATGTGATGAGGTTGAACTCGCCAAATATCCAGCATATGAACCCCAAGTCGGGTCTGCAAATATAGACCCATAATAGCCTCCAGGAGGGGTCATCTGTGACGGTGACGGTGGCGGTGGCGGGGTCATAAAACCGGGTGAAGGCAAAGGCGGTGACATCTGGTAATGGAAAGGCGATGGCGGCATCATATGGCTGCGGCATCATATATGGCTGCAGTGGCTGCTGGGAAGGTCCTGCTGGTGCAGCTGAGGATGAACCGGAAGCACCTGCTCTCCGTCCACGAGTCAGGGGACGATGGTGCTGTGTCGGTGAACGTCTCTGTCGACGTCGT